CGAATTGAGATATCGCTATGAAATAATAAACATTTTAAAGCAAATTTAATCAATATTAAATGTGCTATAACTAATTTCTTATTTCCTATAAACCTGGTTGTTACGATTTTTTAAACTCAACTCTGCATCTTTATTTATTACTTAAAAATTGAAATTTAAGAAATGATTATCTCAAGAACGAATTGAGATATCGCTGTGAAATAATAAGCATTTTAAAGCATATTTAATCAAGATTAAGTGTACCATAAATAATTTCTTATTTCCCATAAACCTGGTTGTTACGATTTTTTAAACTCAACTCTGCATCTTTATTTATTACTTAATAATTGACATTTAAAAAATGATTGTCTCAAGAACGGATTGAGATATCGCTGTGAAATAATAAACATTTTAAAGCAAATTTAATCAAGATTAGGTGTACCATAAATAATTTCTTATTTCCCATAAATCTAGTTGTTACGATTTTTTAAATGCAACTCTACACCTTTACTTATAACTTAAAAATCGAATTTTAGAAAATCGTATCTCAAGAAAGAATTGAGATATTAGTGAAACGATGAACTTGACGTTATCGAACGGTATTCTATCGGATATCTCATCGAAAATGATTTAAGATGGTAATTTGAGTAATTTTTTAACCCGTAATTTACACCTTATTATTTATTTCGAAATATTTCCGAAACCTTTTCCGTTTCATTTCAATTTTAACCTTTACGGTGAATAAACTAGCTTTGATTATACACACCAAAAAATTATAACGATAATTGATGTAATCAACTCGAACGGTTACCACATCTTCACACGCCACACTAAATATTTAAAATCCCTACTTTATTGTGCAATATGTGAAAGAATTAAAGAAAAAGAAGATTACATATGCAGTTATGTGTTCTATTGTTGATCTAACTGCATTTAAATAACTCGGTGTCAGTGGCTTTTTAAAATTAATCCCGTTTTTTTAACCGTTTTCATGTAAAAATATAAATTTTTCAATCGCTCTTCGCTAGCTTAAATAGGACACGAAGACACAATTTATTCGTTTCTCCTTTTTAATCTTTTATACGTTTTCGCTTTGCCCGCGTGTTTTTCCCTTTTATTAAAGGAAAGAAACGAAACGGATGGAAACCGCAGGATTCGTTTCGTTCCTATTTCTCGCAATCGAAATTAACGTTTTTTCTTTACAGCGCTACGAATAACATAAATTTTAATTACTGTTTTCGTATTATTTCAATTCGAAGATGTCATAAAATTATTAACAATCGGATGACATAATTAAAAAATAATGAAGAAATCAATAAAATTGACTAAGATGGTGTAAAAGAACTAAATTTATCGAATTCCAGAGGTTTTAGGTAGAAATGGGTACAACTCGAGATAGTTTTTGTTAAAAAGCGGACGTTAAATCCGACAAACGCCTAATTTATACCTGGAATTCCTTTGAGTAGGTCTTCTGGTACGGTTTTCGTTGCGATTTCGTAACGTTTCCGTGTGTACAGTTGAAATTTATACGGTTTTTATTAATAAGGGAGAGGTTACAACTGCTTCAATCCTTGTAAAATGGACTCGAAGCTTCGTTTCATTTCAATAAATTATAACTTAAAAAGAAATGTAAGAACAATGTTAGAAATTAATACATTAAAATTTTTGTAATTTCAATAATAAAATAAGAAGAAATTTTAATAATCGCATCTCAAGAACGAATTGAGATATCGTGATGAAATAATAAACATTTTAAAGCAAATTTAATCCCAAATTAAGTCCCAAAGTAAGGTATACATTTCTCTAAAATTTATGGATTAGGGAAAGTTTGGAGAATTAACGAGTTTCTATCTATTTAATATAATATAATGTAATCTTAATTTAATTAATGAAAGAAACTATACTAGAAACTCATACTACATGACGCTGGACGAAGCGGAACCAGAAAGACGCTATAAAAGCAAACGGTTCATAACTAAAGTTATGTTTATGGCTGCAGTGGCCAGACCACGCTATGACAATGCTAAAAACGGTATGTCAACGGCAAAATGGGACTCTGGCCATTTGTTTATAAAGAACCTACAAAAAGAAACAACAAGAACCGGGTAAGGGGAACAATGGTTACCAAAAACATCGAGTCTAAAACGCAGCAGAATGCAAAAAGATGATTATCGATAACGTTGTACCAGCCATTAGGTCCAAGTTGATTGGTTCCAAATTGATGATAATGGATCAAGATAACATAATCCATAGTCAGTGCCACCATAGATATCACCATTTCTTAGGTTCAAGCCAGAATTCTCAAAATATCAATTGACAATCAATCAATTGACAATTATGACAATTGACAATCATCTGCGTTAAATTCTGCTATAAGTAGAAAATTAAAGGTGATAGCGAAAACCGTTTCCCATAAAAATTAATGATAAAAAGTCAAAATAACATAATCCATAGTCAGTGCCACCGTAGACGCCACGAGAGCTGTCAGTAAATCATCATTTTCCGCTCTTACAAATGCCATACGTAGTTCACAAACCGCTAGAGAGTAATGCGTGTTGGAAAGAGATAGCATTAGTTTAATATGTCTGCTGTACAATTCAAATGGCCACGTCGAAAAAGTACGTCTGTTCTTCTAAGAGATGTCACTCTATAATTATAACCTCAAATCGAAACGTCTTGTGAGCGTTGTCATGAATCTGTTAGTGTTTTCACAAGCCGAAAATGTTTTCTTTGAAAGGAAAATCATTAAATTAATATCTTTGACAATGTTTGACATATAACCTCCATTACTAACATAACCTACATTTAAATGTATGTGGTGAAATAATCTAAGTCGTACGTCCATATCTTGATTCATACCATTTTTAAGCGATCTGTCACTGCCAGCTCTCGTGGTTTCTACTATATCACCATTTCTTAGGTTCAAGTCAGGAATTCTCAAAATATCAAAATTGACAATCGTCCGCGTTAAATTCTGTTATAAGTAGAAAATTAAAGGTGATAGAGAAAAACGTTTCCCATAAAAATTAATGATAATGTGTCAAAATAACATAATCCATAGTCAGTGCCACCATAGATATCACCATTTCTTAGGTTCAAGCCGGGAATTCTCAAAATATCAAAATTGACAATCATCTGCGTTAAATTCCGTTATAAGTAAAAAATTACAGGCGATAGAGAAAAACGTTTCCCATAAAAATTAATGATAATGAGTCAAAATAACATAATCCATAGTTAGTGCCATCATAGATATCACCATTTCTTAGGTTCAAGCCAAGAATTCTCAAAATAGCAAAATTGACAATCATCTGCGTTAAATTCTGTTATAATTAAAGAATTAAAGGTGATAGAGAAAAACGTTTCCCATAAAAATTAATGGTAATGAGTCAAAATAATATTATCCATAGTCAGTGCCACCATAGATATCACCATTTCTTAGGTTGAAGCCAGGAATTCTCAAAATATCAAAATTCACTCATCAATTTAATCAAGATTAAATGTGATATAAATAATTTCGTATTTTCCATAAACCTGGTTGTTACGACTTTTTAAGCTCATCTCTACATCTTTATGTATCATTTAAAAATTGAAATTTAGTCACCCTAATTACCAAACCTCGCAACTCCCAAATGACAGAATTTTTAGGAAACTATAAATATCTATTTTTACAGTTTTTTCAACAAGGACAGTCTCTATTCATATGTATAACTGTAAGTAGCTAGTTTATCAGTTATATCAATATTTTTTTTAAAGATCCATACAATACTTAGGTGTTACAATGGAGTTACGAGGTTTTTCCATTAAATCCCAAAGTATCTAAAGTTACGAATCATTACAAAAACGTGAAAAAAATAGTTTTATTGATAATCAGTATTTACATATTTGAAATTAAACAGAAAGGTAGTTCAAGAAAATATAAAAAAATATATATATTTCTTAGAACTAGCATTAATTTACTTAAAATTAAACATGTCGACAACAAACTATACTACGAGAAAACTAAAAATAAATTACATAAAGTTATCATAGAATGCGTGGTAATCACCAGCATAGTCATTTGTAATGCCTGGAGATGTTGAAACTTTTCTTGTTTAATTTTCAATTTTTCTTGATAGAGTTGTGCATACTTGAATTTCCAACCTCTTCGTACATACAGAATCATCGTTGATTACAAATCAATTCTCATAGTTCAATTTTTAATACCCAATCTACGTTCACGTTCAATACTTTGCTTTCCGTTTGATTTGGTGTTTCAGTAGTTGTAGTTAAGATGTTGAAAACACCCGGTTTTTACGTTATAGAAACTTATTTCCGAAAATATCAGTGTTGGCCCACATCGCAAGGATTTCGCGAACTTGCACCAACCATTTTGACTCTAATAAACGTAATTTGGTTCATTTATCCGCTCCTAATAGAAATTGCAAGTGGATTTTATCTTATATACTTATTTAGTTATCGTTACTCCTTTTTGTAATTTGTAATGATTATAGATTATAAGAAGAACTTTGAAAAATTATTATTTCACATCGAGTTTCTTTCGATGGGAGCGTTATTTTTATGTTTCAACATACAATTATTGCGGAGGCGACACCATTTACTCCAAACAACCGATTTATTGAGTGATTTTCGCCGATTTGGTACTCCGCAAAGCATCAAAGTCATTGATAAAAAAGCGAAGAAGGTGATTAAAATTATGCATTATGGAGGACTCGTTATTACGTATTTTATCACATATTCTATTTTGTTTGAGGAAAATTGCGCTAAATTTAAAAATATGCAAAATTGTTTAATGTTTGAATATTACCTCCCACTTCAAATTAAAGATTGGGAAATAACTTTAATAATGTTGTTACAAATACATACTGTGAGAATTATAATTTGTATTGTACTCGGAACACGGTCATTGTGCACATATTCAGGGGAATTACTGATTGCGCGTTTTGAAAACCTCATTGATGTAATTAATGACATAAAATTAACAAGAAATAAGAAAAGAAACTTTAAAAAATTAAAACATGTTATTATGTATTATCAAGAAATTTTTAGGTAATCATAATTTTAAAGTTTTTTGACAGATTGATGATGTTAATTAATGATTTTAGGATGTGCCAATTCACCAATTCTTTCTGTACCAGTTTTCTTATTCCTGCAAAAGTTTTTATAACAATTTGTTTATCATTGGCGATTACTGAATTTGTTCTGGTTTGTTATAAATACACATTATTTAATTGATCCCAATTAATTATTACAATTACTTTTAGAGAAAAGATTTAGCAACTTTTTTCCTAATCTTAATGAACATCCAGAGTTTATTCATTAATCACACAACTGGACAACGACTCACTACGGCGACTGCTAATGTGGCGGATGCTGTTTATAATTTAAATTGGTATGATGCGGATGTATCAACACGAAAAGATGTTTTAATTTTGCTCGGTATGAGTCAAAAGGCAATCAAAGTGGAGTTACCTTTCTTTCGGGAATTCTCGCACGCGGCGGCGGCAAATGTAAAGATTTTATTTTGATAATTTGGTGATTATTAATATTGATGTTTTTAAGGAATGCAAAAAAGTGTACATTTTCTTCAATTGGATATTAACTGTTTTGAAAAAAAGAAACTTTTAAACATAAATTAAACGTTAATTATAATGATATATTAAAATTTATCCACGTGCAACAATCAATTTCAAGTTTGAAACGATCGCACTAACTAAATTATTTTATTTCCACAAAAACAAGGAGAGACAGGAAAAAGAGAAGGAATTAGGTGAGTTTCATTAACAACCACATCGATACAAAACTCATTTATCACAAATGTGTATATTAATTAAGCCGAGGCGCAAAAACATAAAAATTTACGATGTTTGATGAACACGCTGTATAGTTAGGGATGCAAACGATACATCGATTTTTCGAAAACATCGATGTATCGTCCATAAACATCGATGTTTTAATAGCGATGTTGAAGTCCATAAAACATCGATACATCGTTCATTATGAACGATATTTTATCTTCGATGTTTGATAAAATAATCGACCATTATTTCCATGTTTGTATAAAAGAGCAATGAAATATTTGCCACTGTTAGCAACTTCAGTGTCTAACGAACGATTATTCACAGAAGTTGGCGCAACAATTAATCAGGAAAGGAATCGCTTATTAGGCACCAGGTTGTCAAAGTTAAGGTTTTTGAATTCTATACTTAAAAATAAATTTAAATAACATTATCTATGTGTTTTATCATATTATAATAAATGGACCGCGTTATACATCACTTGACTAAGCGACATTTTATCGTTTTTAGAGATTTTCATGCTGTCTGTTAGGTAAAGGTGTAACTTATCTTAGAAAAAATGC